AAAATCGCCATACCCAAATATGCTTTATATAGCCTCATGTCGATAATGCTCTCCGTGCAGGTTAGAATGACCAATATACCCTCATGTAGGTATAAATAAATATATCTTGTTTGTTGCGGCCTGAGTCTATCCTTTCCACAAGCATCTAGATGCAGTATTAGGACTCAACAACCAAGGAGATAAAAAGAACGCTCCTCAAACCGCACAGGCAGAATAGGCATGCAACGGTCACATCACCTTCTGTTTTACATGCCGGCTAAGGCCTACCAACGAATGTAAAAATAAATTTGTACGTACATAACCCCTCCTTTCCACAAGCATGTGCACCTCGTCGCTCGATGGAACGCCAACTTGACTAAGCACATGTGCCTACTTACTCGCTTGATGCCACGCAATAAGCAACGTGTGCCAATCCCGGAGAGTGTGCTGCATGCATGCTTAATACATAAATTTGTACGTACATAGCCCCTCCTTCCCACAAGCATCTAGATACAATATGAGAGCTTGGCAATCAAGAAGATAAAAAGAGCACTCCTTAGACAGCACAGGCAGAGCAGCCATGCAGTAGTCACATCATCGTTTGCTTTTCATTATCATCCAAGATTGAATATATAAAATAAAAGAAAATATATACAGTAAATACATGGGCCGCTCAAGGCTTACACTCACTGCTACATACATAATTAGTACATGAATTTTTACGTGCATCTTGCCACCAGCTTAGCATCGGTGCATCTGCACTCGGCCGCTCGATGGAACGCCAACTTGACCAAGCGCCCGTGTCTACTTACTCGCTGGGTGCCACGCAATAAGCAACATGTGCCAGCCCTAAAGAGTGTGTGCCGCTTGGCAATCTCCCAGCAAGTTCACTCATGCAATAACTGCCACTTGCCACGTCTACATTACTAATGTGTTGACTCATCGCTCTTCCTGCCTGTATATATAACCAGCGCGGCGACACACCGCGCCCAACTAATGACTATGTTCTAATTAAGCAACCGAGTAATAAACAAATATTCGCTATCAATTAAAGGGAGGGATAACAATACATAAAAAAGTTGAAGATGACAAAGAAGTAGATTTACTACAACAATGCAAATCCATGGACACAAAGAGAACGACTAATATTTGCACACTTCTAAGAAGAACTACTTATTGAAACCATATACACTCCACTCTACATAATGGTTGTACATGGAGATACAAACACGTCGTAATAGGAAGCCGCAAATATCTTTTGTTGGATTAGATCATCCTGATATAACCTCCTGCAGAATTAGTGCCGGTAATAAAATGATAAAGAGCCTTTTCAAATTCTAGTACACGGCCGGCAGGTGGATACGCTCCTATGCATGTGATGATAGGATCCTCGCTATGCGGACCTTGAGGATACAGATGGAGTGGCAACACACCGGAGAACTTGTTGCATATCTTGGCTAAAATCATTGTTTGCCTTGTGAACTCATTTTGCTGTGTAGCTACCTGCTGACGGGCCATGTTAAATTGTCATTCATTTGTTTGTGCATTTTCTTTTGATGTAAATAGTCTTCCTTTGTGACTTCGAGGGCATAATAGTTATGGTCACTGATAGAAATATTGTAATTTGCACAAATACATTTCAAAGCCACTTGGGCAGCTTTCTCTTTGGCTTCATCCTCTGTGTTAGTTGGCTCTCCTTTGAACGTGATTGAAAATTCTCCGCGGTTGCCTTTTTCACATGGGAGGCCTATCAATAAGGATTCTTGCACCATGCCCCCTGTAAGATACCCGTGACTACAGCTTTGTGTTTCTATGAGGTTTTGACAATTGGACGTCTTGAAATATATACTATGAGGTTTTTTTGCTGCATATAAAAATATTAGGCATAACATCTCATTTAGCTGCAAAAGAGAAAAGAACATAAAACATTGGATAAGAGTAAGGGGTTACCGAATTGCTTGATTTGCCACGGTTGGAATGGGGCCGATCTTCTAAGGAACTTAGCGCTGGGTGCTTGCCCTTCTTCTTAACTTGCTTTCCCACAGAGGATGCTCTCTTAGAACGGTAAGCTGCGTCCATTGTATTGTGTTTAACTGTGTGTAAACTATGACTTTCCTTCGTAGCCTATGAACGGTTATATAGTGTATACAAAAGTAGATGAGCCATCGTTCTACATCTTTTAGCTCGCGAAATGGCACACATTTCTTGTACGACATTTCTTTGCGTGATAGGCTAGGTTCCACGTGGGAGTTAGAGGGAAAATGGGCAATCATCCGGCCATGTTATGTATAGGCAGAAGATAGTTATTACCCTGCTTTGCATGAAGCCGTAGCCTAAATACAAATCCCAAATAGATGCATACCGTGTCAATGGGGGCAACACTGAAGGAGGAGCTCAAATAAGCTTCCGTATCCTTCTTCTTTGATTGTTTCCCTCATAGGAAACTCTTGGCGAAACGGTTGCTACTCATGGCTGTTGGTTTTGCTCTTCGCTGCTTGCAGTGAATGAATGCGGTGAAGGGCACCATGTGAATATATAGCAGGTAGAAAGAGTGATGACTCACCGCATTGCTAATGTAAGCGTGGCAAGTGGCAGTCACTGCATGAATGAAGTTGATGTAAGTTTGCCAAGCAGCATGCATTATCTGCGGTTGACTACTTAGGCGGCACATTGCTTGTTGCGTTGCGTGAAGTGAGATAGCTAGTAGGGTTGATTGATCCAGTTGGTGTTTCACCAGTCGACTGCATGCACAAGTGTACATACTAAGCTTGCAGAAACATGCATGCACAAAATTATGTGGTAAACACACGTAAATTTCAGCAGTGCTTGCATTTATCATGTCTCTTTTTCTTTATCGATTAAACCTTGAACGGTCGTGCAAAGTAGAGTCTGATGTGACCACCGCATGGTCGTCCTGTTTGGATAGTCTGAAGAGTACCCATTTTTATCTTCTTGGCTGTCAAGATTTAATCATGTTTTCAAATGCTTATGGAAGAGAGGGGACACACGCTGCAGTCGGCAAGATATGTTTGTTTATAGCTACACAGGGGCAAGTTGGACATTTCTTCTGCTCACTGTCGCCCCACCTCTATGTGAACTGCAGGACAGCGCTCTACCCCCTATAATCACCCACAAATGCATGTGTTAGTTTCTTATTGATAGATTTTAGGCTGTAAAGAAAGTAATGAAAAGAGATAAAAAAATCTAGCTAGGTTTACTACATTTAGAATTTAGAATTAACATGGCAGGCTCTTATTGGCCTGATTTAGGCTGTGAAAAAAAATCAAAAAAACCTCAAACAAAAAAATTAGTGAAAAATAGGGTGAAGCAAAATTACAACGCATACCCATAATTGTACACGCCGATGGAGAGGACGTTGAGAAAATTTGCATCCAAACGCTATGTCCACACACCAGATCATATCCCGCCACGTCCCAGAGTGATGCACGTGCCGCCCATACATAGGTCATTAAGTCACTTTCACCCAAGTGGCGAAACATGATGAAGAGATCTTCCCCAGATATAGAGGCTTTGGTATGTTATTTGGGTTACTAATTCTTCTATGCTTTGTACTTGTAGGCTCCTCGTATTAGCATAGGCTTACTTGCTAATGTTAGACTCCCTCCATCTACAAATATAAGACGATGTTTTGGATATTTCAACGTGAACTACATACAAAAAAAATTACATTACTGTTAGAACATCCTATATTGCTTTCTTCGTTCCAAAATACTTGTGGTTTTTAGTTCAGTTCAAATTTAAACTGAAACCATGGCGAGTGTTTTGGAACGGAGGGAATATTTGTAATCGAAGGGAGTACTTGTCTCCTATGAAGCACCGATACGGCGATACTGATACGGTGATACGGATACGGCGATACGGGATACGGCAATTTCTAAAAACAGTAATACGGCGATACGGCGCGCATATATAAATTTCTAGTTTTGTAGCAAGCAATTTTATGATTTTGTCCAACCAACATTACTACATTAGCAAGCACCAACAGATCGAAGTACAGGTACAGCACACTTATGACTATGAGAGAGTACTACTACTACCTACATCAACGGATCAATGATACTCTACATCAACAGAAGCTAGCGGCTGCCCAGCAGCCAATCATACATCAACGAATCAACTACACATCAGTACGCATCAGGGCTCGGGCAAATAGTTCACCTTGCGGTGGCGGCGGAGAATAGCAGAAGACTCGAGGCAGGGAGGCGACTCCAGGCAGATCAGCAGTTGGGTCGGCGGCGGCGAGCCACTACAGGCGGCAGAGGTGGCGACGGTGGCGGTAGCGAGCTACTGCTGACGGCGGCGGCAGTCCTGAGTCAGCCCTCGATCCCTGGATTGCCGTCCCAGACGTGTCGCGCGTGTCCCGGCCGTATCGGCATTATTTATTTATTTTTTAAATCAAAAACTGGGATACTTCTGGGATACCCATATCTAAGCCGTATCTGGTGTATCGGCGTATCGGCGACGTCCTGAACGGCGATACAGAGAATTCTGACGTATCGGTGCTTCGTAGCTTGTCTCGACGTTGGTGCTAGAAAATTCTCAATTGCGAGCACTTGAAAAACAGAGCAAGGCCAAATGTACACAACTAGGACTACTTTGTTGGTAAACTTTTCTGTGACATTGGTGCTCGATTGAACAAACGATAGAGGATCACGCCATGGACGGCCCAAGGATACAGCACACACCTCCTCTGCTCTGGTCCAAAGTCCAAACCAAAATGGAAGATAGCCACATTGATCTTTGCCCTTGGAAGGCTATCTATCCATATGAACAGTCTCCTGTCGATTGTTACTTCGGACCCACTGGCGAGACGAGACCACCGTCGCCCCCCTCCCGCTAAAACGACGGCGTCAACCGGCCGTCTCCTGCTCTCCGCACCACCTCTGCTCGCACCATGGAGGCAGAGCAGCGCCGCAGACCAAAACCACCGTTGAAGAACACTACTACAGACACCTGCACCTAAGGATTCTCCTTTCTCCTAACGCTACACCGGAGGCGCTTCACAATGACCATGCCACCGGGATGGGCTGCTGCTGCACCATGCAGTGCGGCTGCTGCTGCGGCCACAGGGGCATCGGGAGCTGCTGCCCGGACCTGTCCTGCTCCACCTCCATGGACGCGCTCTCGCCGTCCTCGGCTTCCTGTTGAGTAAATAGGCAGTTTTCCGATTAAATTAATCCATGAATAAATCATGAGCATGACATGGACAGCATTGATAACATACTGATTATGATCTAACAGAGCATGTACTACGCATATAGTAGAGACATCTACGCATACCGCTAGTACTGCTACAACTGAAAGAAACACGAGAGGGATAAGCGATGTATACCCTCCAATCGGCCACGCGGTGGCGGTGGCGGTGACAGCAGTCGCGGCATCCTCGGCGGCCTTCTTGTCGGCCTCGGCTTTCTCAGCGGCGGCACGGTCGGTGTCAGTCGACATGGTGATGATGAAGGTGATGCGGACGTAGATGAACAGAAGCGAGCAGTCGCGTAGTCGCTACCCAAAAACCTAATCGCCCCTCTCCCCGTACAGGATCCGGAGAGGCGTGGTTTCGGAGGCCTGCTCTCCCGTTAACCGTGTACGCGGTGAACGGGACGGAGTCGCCGGCGGCAGCAGCAGCAGAGGAACGACGTGGGCGTGGAGGCGGAGATGCGTTCTGTTTTTGTGACGGCTAGGGTTGGCAGCGCCCCACATATATATGTGCGGCCGCGCGTGGAGAGACATGGGCTGAACCCACGTCCAAGTCGGTAGCCCACGATCCGACGTCTCAGATCGTGGCCCCACCTGTCAAAGACTCTCCGTTCCTGACCGGCAAAAAGAAGCGCATAGGAGTGAGCTCGGCTCGGCTCAATCCCGCAACCCGCGGCGCGGCGCGGCGCGTCGTGACGAGGCGTGGCGTGGCGAGGCGAGCGGAGGAGGAGGAGTGCGCGAGGGCCTCATCTCTTCTCAAGCTCCAATAGCATGAGGGAGAGAGTCCCTTATAAACCACTCCAACTCTCCTTCCACTTCCAAGGTGGGACTAAACTTCCCACACACCTAGTGCCATATAACCCACATGGGCCCTTAGAGATTTTTCAGAAATTGCAATATGGGCCTAGAGCCCATCTCAGATTTCAGCA